GAACCGGCCTTCAATCTGTTTGTTCTACTTTTATATTTCTACATATTTATGTCAACAGGAATGAATAAACCAGTCTGTTTGCACATCCCAGTTAAAGTTCTTACTGGTTTGTTTTCCTGATCTTCTTTCTGTGTGAAATGGAAACTTTTCTTTCTGGTTTTTGATTCATAGAAAACAGAAACATAGAATTTCATGTTAGATGCTGTGTTTATTTCTCTGGTCAGAAATTCTCTGCAGCTTTAAAATTCCACCTGAGTCCAGCTCCCAAAATATAGATTAGAAACATATGGAAGAAATCTGACTTTTTTAGGCACCGAATTTAGAAAAACTTTTTGCTGGCTAATTTTTTTGCAGCTGATAAAAATTCCAGATAAAAATTCAGTGTAAGGTAATTAAATAAAGAAAAAGATAAAAATAAACACTGCAAAACATCAAAGCCCATTAGAAACTCTGGATGAACCTCAGACTTTATAGATCCAGATCTAGACTAGAACTAAAGCTAATCTGGACTGAATCAGATGAAACATGTTTGTTCCATGAAGGTTTTAATGAGCAGAGAGTTTGGAGGAAATGGGATTTTAGCACAGTGGTGCCAAAAGAGGCCAAATTATGCAAAAATGCATTTTTCTCCTCATAAAAGTGAATCTGATCAGACCAATATTCTGATTTCCATTATTGGAGACTTTCTGCATAAAGCCTTTGATCCTCAAATTGAGCCTTTAGTTCATTGAAATTTACCAATAAAATCAGCAAACTGGATAGAAAATAATAACAGAGCAGCTTAAACATACGGAAGAGGATTAGAGCCACTGAAAATATGAAAAAGTTAACTGATATGTAAATTTTATTTCAGGTTAATATGGGGGGAAAAAGTCTGAATTCTGAGATTAAACTCAGAATTCAGACTTTTTCCTCCATATTAAACTGAAATAAAATTTAAATATTGAATTTTTCATTTTCTCAGAAGCCCTAATCCTCTTCTGTAGTAACGCACGCCGGTTCCATCACCTGAAACGGTCGCACAATGACCTCTGACCCCTCCTTGGAAAGGCCTGAGCCTCTAGTTTCCAATGATGGCGGCCATTAGGGGGCGGGGCTAAAGATGAATACCTGCTGTTGCAGAGTCACACATGTCAGGTGGGATTTCAAACCTCATTTGAAAGGCGTGTGGATGAAACACCATGTGACTGTTTGGGCCATTTCTATAAATAGATCAACAGCAGGTAGTGAACCGGACCCGCCGGGCCTAAAAATCTGAATATTTGAAACAGTCAGAACCTCCTGGACCCGTCGGTCCGTTATAAGCCTGGATCTGTCCTCTGACCAGCAGGGGGCGGGCCTGATGGCCGATCTGGACCAGCACCATGACCTGCAGACCATCTCAGGCGGCTGACGGCCGATCTGGACCAGCACCATGACCTGCAGACCATCTCAGGTGTTGGACGGCTGAGATGGAGCAGAGGCCTGCAGAGCGGGGCTTCTCCACCAGGTGGCAGCACACCCAGCCCTCCTCCCTCCCAGAGCAGAGTCCATCTTCTCAGGTTTCTGTCCATCTGTGAAGCTTCCATCAACACGGCAGCTCCTCACAGCCTGGAGGCTGGCCTGGTTGGAGGCCGGCCAATCCCATCATGCACCTGAGCGCTCAGCCACCGCCACATGGCTAATCTGGCTGATTAATGAGGGAGGGGTTCCTGATGGGATTAGATCAGCTCTGGACATCTGCTGGTCCACTTCAGCTCATTACTCCAAGCTGCTTCCTCTCTCTGCTTCACGGCGCCACGGTAACCTCACCTTCCCAGCTCTCCACATTCAGGAGGCCGAGGAAGAAATGAGGCTCTTGGATCATCTGGTCCAGTTTAAAGAGCCAACTGGGAGCAGTGGGAGCATCTCTGAGCGAAGAGGAAACTGTTCGAGACGTCATGAAGATCTCAGATCTGCCGCCAAGATGGACGAAGAGGCCAGAGGAGGAAACAGAGCAGAGACCCAACTGTGATCAGGAAGACAGAACCGGACCGGACCGGACCGCAGTCCTCTCTGTATGAGATGATTAAATCTGTTCTGCAACCAGTGAGTACGGCCGTCTGGTCCACCATGACCCAGTTCACCCACTCTACCCTGCTAGCCTGACCTTAACCCGTCTAGTCATCTCAGAACTCTTAGTAAAGCCAGGTTCTGCTACCTGACGAACGTTTCCTTACATCCTTTGAGGTTCTCTTTTATTCCCATTTAGTCCCTTTTCCTTATAAGGATTTCCTTTACCTTTAGCCAGAACTGAAGCTGGACTCCTAAACGGTTTCTGCTTGGATCCAAATGGCAGAATTCTCTTCAGACAGAAAGAAACTCGAAACGATTCATCCAATATTGTCCTCCATCACGGACATGTGTGAGAACGGCGGGAAACGATTTATTAACAGCTCGAATTCCAACAGCTGTCTGATAACTTCCAGCGCTAATCTGAAAACATCATCACAAACGATCGCAGCTTTTCCCCCAAATATGGCGCCAGGGAAAAAAAGGAAAAAAAATCCTGAGCCTGAACTTTTTCGACACAGGCAAGAAGAAACTATATATAAATATATATCAGAGATTATATATATCAGAGATTATATATAT